CTGTAGAGAGTTTGATCTACATCCTTTCCATCTACATCCATATCAAGTTTGGTGGATGTGCTCATGGGGACAGAAACGGATGACTTCTGATCAACATTGAACTTCTTGATAAGATCCCTTGTATATTTAGCTTGATTGATGAGAGTGCCTTCACTTCTCTGTTTGATTTGAAGGCCAAGGAAGTAGTTGAGTTCCCCCATCATGCTCATTTCAAATTTTCCTTTCATGAGGGTTGAAAACTTGGTGCATAGATCTTCCTTCGTTGAGCCAAATATGATATCGTCCACATAGATCTGAACTAATAGGAGATCTTCTCCATCTTGTAGCTTGAATAATGTCTTGTCAATTACTCCTTTGGTAAATCCATTGTCTATGAGAAATTGAGACAATGTATCATACCAAGCTCTTGGTGCTTGTTTGAGTCCATATAGCGCCTTCTTGAGTTTATACACCTGATCTCCCTTAGTGTGTAACTCAAATCCTGGAGGCTGTTCTACATACACTTCTTCCTCTAGGTTTCCGTTGAGAAATGCGCTTTTGACATCCATTTGATAGACTTTGAAGTCCTTGTGAGTAGCAAAGGCTAGAAACAGCCTTACAGCTTCAAGTCTAGCAACTGGAGCGAAGGTTTCATCAAAATCTATACCTTCTTCTTGACAATATCCTTTAGCAACTAACCGGGCCTTGTTTCTGACAACAACGCCGTTTTCATCCATTTTGTTCCGGAAGACCCACTTTGTCCCAATGACATGTTGATGAGTAGGTCTGGGAACAAGTTTCCAGACATCATTTCTGGAAAACTGGTTGAGTTCTTCTTGCATTGCATTGATCCAATCAGAATCAGCTAGAGGTTCTTCAATATTCTTTGGTTCCACTTGTGAGATGAAACAAGCAAGCATAGCTTCTAGATTCTGTTGGGCACTACTTGTGCGAACACCAGATTGAATATCTCCAATGATCTGTTGAGAAGGATGATCCCTTAACCAACGAAGATTGTGTTGATTGGGATTGACTGGTTGATCTAGTTCAGCTTTTGGTTGAAGAACAGAAGTTGTTGGTGTTTCTGGATGGATTGGCACTGGGTCGCCATTTCCGGAATTGTCGCCGTTTGAGATATCCGAAATATTGGAAGGCTGGCCAAAATTTCCGGAGGGCTCAGCACCGTCTGAATCCGGATTTCTCTGTGAAATCTTCAGAGACAGACTTCTGAATGGAATGAATTCCGTGGGCTTCATTCTATCTTCTTTATTGACTTCTTCATCCTTGTCTGATAAATCCAGAACCTCATGATCATGTTTTGATGGTTTGTCAATCACATGTTTTTCATCAAAAATGACATGTATTGACTCTTCAGTGATCATGGTTCTTTTGTTGAAGACT